TATGTGAAGCCAGCTGTGGGGTATATTCAATCCTATAGATTTCTCATTGTTTGGTAACTATTTGCTGCAAATGCAACAAAAATCAATATAAAAAATATGACCCACACAGTATTCTACAGGTTACTTGTATAGTGTTAGTGCTCGAAGGTTAATTATTCATGGAGTCGTTCGAAAAGTGATCAGAATTTATAACACAGTATCGTTATTTTCTCTAGACACACTGATGGAAATTCTTCGCGATTCGTACAAAAATGGTGAGGTTGTATATGGAGACGACAGTCAATGGGAAGTGTTCAACGCCGTCGCTCATGTGTTGTGGAACTATACAGATGCTAGTCTCTCGTTTGCCTCTACAGCGGGCGCTGCTGATTTAGTAGCATTTATGCTCAGTGTGGTTGAGAGCCATTTCCAGATGCTGAAGAAAAAGGTAAAATTTGTGATCGGATATGGTTTTAAAAGTGAATTTTGTATTAATACTTCATAGTTCTTTTTGATTAAAGTACATATAAAGTACTGGTCAGGTGCCATAATGGTCTGTTGTTATGGTGATTTGACATTTTATTATTTGTTTACAGATGATAAGCTTAGCGGACGGAATAGCGACATGCTTTGGTGACACTGTTTCATCGACGCCAGTAATGGAATCATCGGTAGAAGCGCCATCTCGTGACATGCCTCCCGGATCTGAAAGCACGGTGAGTCGCGATATCGTAGTATACGGTGTAACAAACCATACGTGAATGAATACGTGTTTCAAAATTATGCGTGAATTTTGCACCAGCAGAGTGCAACATATTACATAACTCGACCTGCGCACAACACGTGTTGCAAAAAAAACAAATAGTAGTTTTTACAGCAGTTTGTAAATGCCTCATTAGTGACATGTTAAACATTTACGCACCAAAATCTGCTAATTTGTCAAGTGACGCAGTTCCATGTACATGGTAATGTACGAGCTCAAATCGTGACATTATTATTATATCTAGGTAAGAAAACCCACTACAGACAGTGAAGTTCGGGAAACTGACGATAAAGTGCGCCTTATACCCGCGGGGTCACGTGCAGGTATAAAGAACGATGGATTAGTTGGTTACCGAAAAGATTCGGATCTTGTGGCAGCTAACAATAAAGCAGTGTTCGTGACAGAGAAACCGTTGCGATGTAATCACCTGTTTGAAATAAACATCGATAAAATAGACGTTAGAAAAACAGCCGGTCTCGAATTCGGTAAGTTGTTTTGAAGATGAGTAGATTCACGTAATTATTGGACCATTTTTTGGATTTACAGATTTAGGTAGGTCAGTCATGTTATGTATAATCATAGCGTGTCACTGTTTACAAACAAGCGTCTACCCATGAGCCTTTGCGTTTTTGCCGTGTGTTGTTATCGTCGCTTGGGACTCAATTCCCACGCGTGCGCAGGTGACGACCCTCCCGCTTTAACAATGAAACTTTTGTAACAAAATTATTTCGTAGCGTGAATTTGCGTTACCCCATGATGTATTTCTTTTATTATAACCATGTCTATGCAATCGTCAACAAAGAGTGATGGAGGTTATGAATCAACACTGCTTGAACCTTCTCTACTCGGTGATCTCCGATCCAGGTATCCGTCCTTCGGTCGCATTCCCCCAAAACCGAGTGAAATTTTCACTGGGTTACAAAATGCATGATGTTTGGCAGAGTTTCGTGATATTTGTTGTATGCTAATTGTCTCCCAGGAGTGAATTACGAACAATATTCAACAAATTTTGGATTATGGCAGGTTTAGCCGTTTAAAGACTTACATGGAGTGGACAATGTACTTTTTTTTTTCGTTGCTCAATAATGTGAAATTTTGAAACGTGAAATACACATTACCCCACAAAAACACTTCGCCAATAAATAGTATGTATCACTACACTACTACGATGTACCCCTGTTCGGAAACATTTTATTACAAACGAGGACAAACGATCATGGCGTCTGACTTTACGCGCATGGATTCCATACTGGAGTGTTTGTTGTGTGTCGTGTGCGTGATTCTGCCCTCCCCCGCTGTATTGGTGTTATTAACTCATTGTTCTATTTCTCTTTAATAGGTGTAACAATATACCAAGAGTTTCCAGATGATGTGGTTTATTACGGGGAAGGCTACGGAGAAGGGACAGGCTTTTGGTTCTTAAAGTAAGTCGGCTCACGTATATTTAGGACATCTTAAATGGAGCTTCCATCAGAAATTAAAATTATTCGAGAATCAAGTGTTGGTGTGGCCTGCGCTTAGTTCAAAACGACATTCCTGTATCAGTATCCAGATATATGAGGGCGTCCCGATTCTTTTTATAAAACAAATATCAACATGTTTATGTTCAGAGAATATATTTATTATTTTAGAACTACGGATTTTCATCGAGACTTTAAAACAATTGGAGGAGGGTACAGTCTGAATCTAGAAGAAATTAAACAGGGCGATAAAGTTGGTATTGTTCGTTTTGCTAATTCTGCTTTACACTACTACTATAATGGAGAAGATCAAGGCATTGCGTTCAGGAACATACCAGAAGGTAATCCAAATTGTGCTTCCGGCGATTTTCCCCGACCATTTTTTACCATTCTATGATTGTAATGATATATCTAAAGAAATACAAGTAACCTGTAGAATACTGTGTGGGTAATATTTTTTATATTGATTTTTGTTGCATTTGCAG